GAAGGATATTAGAAGCAAAGATGAAGTACTTTGGCCACATAATGAAAAGACAGGAAAGCTTGGAGAAGATGCATAGAGGGGCCAAGGAGAACGTAGGACTACAGCTTCCATTTCTTCTCAGAGCAATTTTAGAAAGAAAGCCTCTTCAAGCCAATAGGGCTTCCTCTCTCATATGTGCACACAGGATTACAGCCTGGAAGCATTTCTAGAGGATGGCACCAGCATGTAGACAAACCTCCGCAGGTATACTTGGGAGACGAAGTCCTGCCATCCCTTTGGGAATGTGACTCCTGAACAAAACACCTTATAGCAATTTAGTGAGACACACGCATCCTCAAGGAAGGGCCTTCTGCAGGGCTACTCAAGGGACTTGTCTACACAGACTAAAAAAACAAACCCATACTGACCTCAAAGGAACTATGATCCTGATGCATCAGATCTGCGACAAGTCATTTACAATGTGTTTCTTTGAATGCCAATCCATTTGAAAAAGCCTTTCCTTTTACCATGAGATTTTACCAAAAAATCCCGACTTTTAGGCATATGGCTAGCCCTCTAGGCAGCATAGCTTTGCTGTATTATTGTAGGGAGGCATTAATGGTGTGTTAAACAGGGAAATGACCATACCCACCAGTAAGTGTTATTTTCCAGTTTGAATTTAATTTTTTTTAAAGAGGAAGGCCCATGTATGTGGATACCAGTACACCAGTATAAGCACATCTCCATTTCATAGAAAATACAGTAGTCTCTCAAGCAACCAGCAAAAACAAATGAGGAAATAATATTTTATATTTTAAAATATTTTATATTTTTGGGCCCCCTGGTGGTGCAGCGGATTACACCGCTGAGCTGATGAATTTGGCGGTTTGAATCCGGGGAGCTCCCGCTGTTAGCCCCAGCTTCTACTAACCTAGCAGTTTAAAAACATGCAAATGTGAGTGGATCAATAGGTACCGCTTCTACAGGAAGATAACAGCGCTCCATGCAGTCATGCTGGCCACATAACCTTGGAGGCGTCTTCGGACAACGCCGGTTCTTCAGCTTAGAAATGGAGATGAGCACCACCCCCTAGAATCGGACATGACTAGACTTAATGTCAAGGGGAAATATTTACTTCCCCCCCCCCCTTGTTTTTAAAGGCTGTTTTTATAATATAGCAAAGCAGAAAAACTGTGTTACATTAAGTTATGGTTGTATTTGCATTTAATTACTATTTTTTAAATTTTAATATCAAGTCAATACAGAGTTTATGGTATGGTACAATATGGAGCAGTATTAGTTTGGTCTATTTTCAAGCAACCAAGTACATTTTCAAGTACATTTTTCTGGTCCTGGTTAACTGAGAGCCTACTGCCACTGTGCAAGGTGGTAGGAAAAAAGGGGCCATCTGGCCAAAAATAGTGTGAAGGATTGGAAATGTGGACCTCCCCTTAACAGTGAGTGGTGTGTGTTGTAGGGAACTGTATGGCTGACTACATTGTCTAACACAATTTTTGTTCCTGGGTTATAAATGTCATTTGCTAACTGATTCCATCTTAAAAACATAGAAAAAAGTTTATTAAACAGCAAAAACTTTGTTTGCATGGGACATCCCAGAGCACATTTTGCTATAGTTTTTCAATGAGTATCTCACTGCATCTCAATCAATTCAACATAGTTTGTGACAGCCACAAAAGTGAAGATTTTAGAATATAACAACTATCTTCAAAGTAAGTGCCACACAATTAAACAGGAAAGAACACCTTCACACCAAGAACATTTTTTTTGTAACAGCGTTATGGCAATCCCAACGTGATTATATGTAGCATCCATGGGGTCACTGAAGGGACAATGCAGACTGGGAAAATGTGTGCTAAACAGAATGTTTGGGTCATTGAAAAGCCTGGCAGCTTAGGGCCCTTCTACGTAGTCATATAACCCATAATATCAAGGCAGAAAATCCCACAATATCGGCTTTGAACTGGGTTATCTGAGTCCACACTGCCATATATCCCAGTTCAAAGCAGATAATGTGGGATTTTATTCAGCTGTGAGGAAGGGGCCTAGGGTGCTTCTACACTAGATGTCGTTTGACACCACTTTCACTGCTATGGCTCATGGAGAGTCGGAGCTTCCAAAGCTCTTTCACCTTCTCCGCCATAGAATGCTGGTGCCTCACCAAACAATAGCTCCCATGATTCCATAGTATTGAGCCATGGCAATTCAAGAGGTGTCAAACTTCATTAATTCTACAGTATAGATGCACCTGGGAGTGCATGGCAACTAGTCTTTTCCATTACCATAAATGAAGGCTAAGCCTAAGAGTAAGCCAACTAGTGTATCTAACTGTAGAATGAATGCAGTTTGACTCCATTTCAACTGCCATGGATCATGGGAATTGTAGTTTTAGAACAGCGATGAGCAACCTTGGGCCCTCCGGGTGTTTTGGACTTCAACTCCCACCATTCCTAACAGCCTCAGGGCCCTTCCTTTCTTCCCTCAGCCGGGAAAACCCGGAGGGCCCAAGTTTTCCCATGCCTGTCTTAGAAGGTCTTTTGCCTTCTCTGTCAAAGAGAGCTGGTGTCTCACTATGGACCCTTCCACACAGCTCTATATCCCAGAATATCAAGGCAGAAAATCCCACATTATCTGAATATGGACTCAGACAACCCAGTTCAAAGCAGATATTGTGGGATTCTGGCCTGCATCAATGGGAGTATAGTCTCTAGATCCAGGGAAGTCATGCTACCCCTCTATTCCGCCTTGGTTTAGATCACATCTGGAATATTGTGTCCAATTCTGGCACCACAATTAAAGAGAGATATTGAAGCTGGAATGTGTCCAGAGGAGGAACTAAAATGATCAAGGGTCTGGAGAACAAACCCTATGAGGAGTGGCTTAAAGAGCTGGGCATATTTAGCCTGAAGAAGAGAAGGCTGAGCGGAGACATGATAGCTATGTATAAATATGTGATGGGAAGTCATTGGGAGGAGAGAGCAAGCTTGTTTTCTACTGCCCGGGAGACTAGGACATGGAACAACGGCTTCACACTACAAGAAAGGAGATTCCACCTGAACATGAAGAAGAACTTCCTGACTGTGAGAGGTGTTCAATGATGGAACTCTCTGCCCTGGAGTGTGATGGAGGCTCCTTCTTTGGAGGCTTTAAAACAGAGACTGGATGACCACCTGTCTGAGGTGCTTTGAATGTGATTTTCCTGCTTCTTGACAGGGTGATGGATAGTCTCTTCCAACTCTATGATATTCTGGGATATAGGGCTGTGTGGAAGGGCCCTGAAGGATACCTCCCAGGATTCCATAGCATTGATCTGGGGCAGTGAAAGCGGCATCAAACTGAATTAATTCTAGAATATGTATGCGCCCACCCAAAGGACCCTCCCAGGCCTGTAGACAGGATTTTGATTCGGGGGGGGGGGGCTGAGTTTGATTCGGGGGGGGGGGGTGAGGATCTATTCTAGGAAATCTTTTGTATTGTTATCCTAATACCCCATGCATATTTGATATATTGAGCATGGTGATCAGATCATGATATGAATAAACGTAACAGTTTAAATAATGTACCAGTAAGGCCTTCTCATGGACCACCCTGAAGTCCTTCAAGCCCCCCCCCCCCCAAGCTACATGCCTGGACCCTCCCCTTAGTGTGTGGCACCTCCCCAAACTATAAATCCCAGAAACCTATAGCATTGGGCTATGGCAGTGAAAGTGGTATCAAACTGCATTAATTATAAAGTGTGGATGCACTCATGATTATAGTCTTCCATCACAATAGCCTCCACTCTCCTAAATGGATGAGGTCTCTTCCAACTCTTTGATTCTATGATTCTAAACCAATCTCCATAGCCTTAACTAGGAGCTCAATGAAGCTGGCCAATGTATCCCTCCCTTGACAGAAGGAAGGAAGTGGGAAAAGCACCTGTTGAGCAAAGAAAGGCAGCCAAGCCGCCCTTTCCTTTTCTCACCTGTCCTCCTCTGGTTCTCTCTTCTTTGTGCAGGCTCCAAATTTGGGGGTGGGAGTGGGGGTTTATGCCCCCGAAAGCGAGGGAAGTCTTCAGTCCATGTCGAGAGCGCCTCGGTTACCTGGGTTCCCGGGGAGCAACTGTGCGCTGCCTCCTCCACAACAAGCTGCCTCCCGACTGGACTTTCCTTAAGGCGCCCGCCCGCTCCGAAAGAAACACGCCAACTTTTACCCTCCCTGGACACTCTCAGGAGGCTCGCTGCTTTTCCTGGGAGCCCTTTCCACACTCCACGGCGTGGGGCTGGAGGGAAAGAAACAGACTTTCCCCCTTCCTTCGCTTTCTTTTCCTCGCCTTTCGGTATGACCCGCCCGAGCCACTTTCTTCAGGGATGGGAAGCGTGCAGGGTTAGGACGCTGGGACGACAAGGAAGCAGGTGCAGGTGAGCCCTACCGAGAGAGAGGCCCCTCCCTTCTGCTCCTTCGGGAAGGTGATTGGAGGCCTCTGGAAGGGGTCAGCCTGCCAGTGAAAGGAACTAAGAGCACAGGTAGGGACAGGTGAATGTCAGCAGGAGGCAGAAGTAGGCTTGATGGGGTTTACCTTTGGGAGCAGCTGCAGTTTGGTTTAAGGCAGGCATGGGCAAACTTGGGCCCTCCGGGTGTTTTGGACTCCAACTCCCACCATTCCCAACAGCCTCAGGCCCTTTCCTTCTCCCCCTCAGCCGCTTAAGCCCTCTGAACCCTTTAATTTCATGGGAAACTGGGATGTGGAGACTCTAGATCATGCATGGGCAACTTGGGCCCTCCAGGTGTTTTGGATTCCAACTCCCACCATTCCTAACAGCCTCAGGCCCTTTCCTCCCCCCCCCCCCCCCCAGCTGCTTAAGCCCTTTGAACCCTTTAATTTCATGGAAAACTGGGATGCAGAGACTCTAGGCCACGCATGGGCAAATTGCCCCCCCCCCAGGTGTTTTGGACTCCAACTCCTACCATTCCTAACTGCCTCAGGCCCCTTCCTTTTCCCCCTCAGTCACTTAAGCCCCCTGAACTCTAATTTCACTGGAAAGTAGGATGTGGAGACTCTAGATCAAGCATGGGCAAATTTGGGGCGTCCAGGTGTTTTGGACTCCAACTCCCACCATTCCTAACAGCCTTAGGCCCTTTCCTATACCTCCTCAGTTGTTTAAGCCCTCTAAATGCTTTAATTTCATGGGAAAGTGGGATATGGAGTGTAAATCAGGCATGGGCAAACTTGGGCCCTCCAGGTGTTTTGGACTCCAACTTCCACCATTCCTAACAGCTTCAGGCTCCTCCTTTTCCCCTCAGCTGCTTAAGTGCCTGAGGGGGAAAAGGAAAAGGCCTGAGGCTGTTAGGAATGGTGGGAGTTGAAGTCCAACACACCTAGAGGGCCCAAGTTTGCCCATGCCTGATCAAGCTGCAGCTTATGTGGACTAAGAGGGAAGTAATTTAAGACTTTGAGTAAAATAATAGCAGACTTCCGGTTCTGTTTGCATTTCTCAAACCGACAACTTCTTGGCTAACTAGGGTCACTAGGTGCATACTTATTTGGGAGTAAGTCCAAGTCAGTAAGTCAAATAAAACCTCAAGTAAGTATGTGCCAGATCTGGCTGGTGTTTCAATAACAGAGGTTTGGAGTGTAAATGCTCTTGTGCAAAAGTGCCATGTGGATTTTGACTGGGTTGAAACTTGCCCTTTGTTCCAAGACAAGGAAGTTAGGTCCCTGCGATGGAGAACGTGATATAACCAAATGATTACGAAGTTCATATAGAAGTGAATAATTGCCATATGTAAGCTGCCTTGAGTCTCCCGTGGGGTAGAGAATGGCGGGATATAAATAGGGTAAATAAATAAATAAGCTTATACAAAATCAAACAATATATTTAAATTAAAATATTTATATTAAAACCACCACTATTAAAGCAGCTCCACTGGCTGCCGATAAGTTTCCAATCCCAATTCAAGGTGCAGGTTATGTATGACCTGCAAAGCCCTAAATGGTTTGGGCCCCACCAATTTTCGTGACCACATCTTCCCTTATGAACTGGTGCCCTCCATTTGCTTCCACCACCATCACAAGCACGGCTGTTGGGGATGAAGGAGAGAGTCTTCTCAGTGGTGGCCCCTTGACTTTGGAACACCCTTCCCAGGGAGATTAGGCAAGTCCCCACTCTGTCCTCCTTTTGTAAGGATCTGAAAACTTGGATATTCCAGCAAATCATAAAATCATTGAATTGGAAGAGACCTCATGGGCTATCCAGTCCAACCCCCTGCCAAGGAGCAGGAAAATCGCATTCAAAGCACCCCCAACAGATGGCATCCAGCCTCTGTTTAGAAACCTCCAAAAAAGAAGTCTCCACCACACTCCAGAGCAGAGAGTTCCACTGCTGAATGGCTCTCATAGTCAGGAAGTTCTTCTGAATGTTCAGATGGAATCTCATTTCTTGTAGTTTGAAGTCATTGTTCCGCATCCTAGTCTCCAGGGCAGCAGAAGACAAGTTCCCTCCCTCCTCCCTATGACTTCCTCCCATGTATTTATACATGGCTATCATGTCCCCTCTCAGCCTTCTCTTCTTCAGACTAAACATGCTCAGCTCTTTAAGTTGCTCCTCATAGGGCTTGTTGTCCAGAACCTTAATCATTTTAATCGCCATCCTCTGGACACATTCCAGCTTGTCAATATCTCCCTTCAATTGTGGTGGCCAGAATTGGACACAGTATTCCAGATGTGGTCTAACCAAGGCAGAATACAGGAGTAGTATGACTCCCCTGGATCTAGACACTATACTCCCATTGATGCAGGCCAAAATCCCATTGGCTTTTTTTTGCCACCACATCACATTGTTGGCTCATGTTTAACTTGTTGTCCACATTTGCTGGAAGGAATACGTTTGTTGAGTGAATTGGATCTCCGAGTTAGATCTCAATTGGGCTATCAATGGAAGGCCCTCTTGAGCTAGCTTTCTATCCATAGGTATCTGGGCAAAGATCAAAAGTAATAAGTAATTGCTGCTATACAGTGTCAGATTCACATCTGCATATTCAGGTACTGTCCAGTCATTCATCACACACAGATGTTATGATAGTTTATAAATAAGAGTAAGACCTTTTGACATGTACTGCTGTCTAGTCCCTAGTCATATATGTGCAGTCCCTGGGTCACCAGATTGTCCTCTGTTTTGCACATCATCCACTTCTCCAGCCCTATGGCACGGTGTTTGCACTATCCCTTGCCCAGTCCTTTTAGCTTGGCCATGCCCACTTTAGTAATTTTGGCCATTGGTTTTGCTGAACCTCACCTGCTGGAGATTCAATATAATTGGTTTTATGCTTTTTCTTTAGTGTGTTTTATCTGGGTTTGTAATTTATGATGCTTTTATTTTAAGGTATTTTGTTCTGTGGATTGCTTTTACTTTTATGTATTGCTTTTTTTGCTTTTATATATTGTGGACACTCTGTCCATATGCAAGCCACCCCAAGTCCCTTCGGGGAGATGACGGTGATGGTATAAGAATAATTTTTACAATAATAATAATAATAATAATAATAATAATCATCATCATCATCATCATCATCATCATCATCATTTTTTTAGCGTGTTATTTTTACATAAGCGTTTGGAGTGTATTAAGCTGATCCAAGCAATGAACTTAAGAGAAGTTGAATCTAGACTTCTTTTTTAACCAAGTCACCTCTTAATGCCAAAGTCGATAAATATGTCATAATTTGTACAAGTAAAATTCCATGCAAATTATGTTTTCAAAACAAGGACCACTGTCATAGATTTTTTACATAATGGTGCATTTCAGGAGTGGACTGTTAATGCAGCCCTGGTCCAGCCCTATTATAGCTATTCAGTAGGCCCTGGAAATGAATAGCCCCAGGCATTACCCTGGCGATGAGTTAGGGCCCTGTTGTGCACTTTATCCACTTCCTCGTTCCTATTTTTCCCTATTGGCCCAGCCCTGTGCAGCAGGCCTTGGAAATAAATAACTCCAGGTCCCACTCTGGCCATCATGCAGGACCATACTTGTACTTTACCCACTCCCTGGGTCTTAGTCTAATTCGTTATACTAGCCCAGCCCTCTTGTAGTCGTTGAGGCCCACTCTGGAATTCTGGCCATTGCAATCTGATCTTGCCCGATGTAAATTAGTACTGAACTGGCTTTTAATTTTAAATATGTTATATCCTATGTTTTATTATTATTTTGAATGTTTTGGAGGTCAGTAATTGCAATGCTTTACCTGTGCTGGAAACCAAGCTGAGTCCCCTCGGGGAACTAGAGCAGTATACAAATAAATTATTATTATTTGAAACACAAAAAGATGAGTCCATAGCAGACACTCTGCTGGCTGTTGTATTGGATCACACGTCTGACACTTCCCAAGTGTCTAGGACTGTGTGATGTATCAGCGAATAATGCGTGCAGATCCCAGCAAGGTGGACTTTTGCAGCTGGCAGATGGTAATTTTTGTCAGCGCTGATTGTGTTTAAGTGCAGGCCAAGGTCTTTAGGCACTGCACCAAGTGTGCCGATCACCACTGGGGCCACCTTTATCATCATCATCATCATCATCATCTCTGTGATAACATAAACTTAACATAACTGTTTTACAAAATACATCTTACTGCAAATCAGCAGAGACGTCCAATGGAAAATATGTTTGCCTTGGATGAATTGTGTTTTATTGTATGGCTTTGGACATGTCACTGTCACACACATCTTTAAAATTAAAAGGTTATTAACCTACCTTGTGGGATGTTGTGAAAATAAGCAGCAACAAACACAGGAAAGTGTTCCACACTAAAATGAGTTACCAACTACTGTAAATTACTATTATAATAAGTAATGTTCAGTTTGAAAACCAGTCCAGCACCTTTAGTTGCATATTATATCTTTCATTTGTTCACCTACTCTAGCATCATTTTCCTCTTCCCCAAATAATTTAAAAATGCATTTTAATATTTATGGCTTAATTGTTTTATTGAAACACATTGCTTTTTCCTTTTATATTTATATTTTAATGCATTTACATTGTTTTATGAGGTACTTTGCAGTGTATCATATTTATTGTTAGCTGCCTTAGGTCCCCATATCAGGAGAAAGGTGGGATAAAATTAAGTATATAAATGATCCCCCCTCCCAACTTCCAACAGTAGATCCCAACACTTAAGAATATAACTGCGTCCACAGCAGATCGTCAGACATTTTGAAATGATATAAAGCTAGTTTCAGAGGCAATGTTGTTATTCTGTATTAATAATTTTTTAACGTGTCAGAAGCTAATTGAGAATATATTGCAAGTCGCTTCTGGTGTGAGAAAATTGAGACGTTGCCCAGGGGATGCCTGGATGTGTTACCATCCTGTGGGAGGCTTCTCTCATGTCCTGCAAGGGAAGCTGGGGCTGACAGATGGGAGTTCACCCGTCTTGTGGATTTCAACCACCAACCTTCAGGTCTTCAGGTCAGCAGTTCAACTGGCACAAAGGTTTAACCCACTGCACCACCGTGGCTCCTATTAATAATAGTTAAGAATAGGTGTTTTTATTTTTGTAGCTACATGATCAATACAAAGAAATTTGGAAGATCTTCTGATCTTGAAAGTTCCCAGGAGACAAGATTTCACACAAACTTTGAACAACTTCTATGAGCTTCGTAGTTTATATTTTAACAACCTAGTTGGAAGGAAGGCACGATGTCCTATTATGGATTCTTTTCAAGTGTTAGATGCATTTCCCTTCAGTCTGTGTAGACTCTAGGATCACAATGTACTTTAGGCTTAGTGATGCATCATAAAGAACAACAGGGCTCATGTTTGTCATCCTCAGGGCCAAGAATGAATAACTTTTCCAATATCACACAATCAAACATATACATTTGGCAGTTCCAAATCATTATTTCATTTTGGAATTCATTGCAGGAATTAATCTGGACAGAAATAAATGTTTTTACTCCAGAGGGAAGGCTAGGACACAGAGCAATGGATTCAAATTGCAGGAAGAATAAGATTCTGCCTAAACATTAGAAAGAATTTTGGCAATGGAATATTTTGCCTTGCGGAATGATGGAGTCTTCTTCTCTTAAAGTTTTTTAAGCAGAGGCTGGATGGCCATCTGTCAGGAATGCTTTGATTGTGTGCTCCTGCATGGCAGGGGGTTGGAGTGGATGGCCCTTGGTGTGTCTTCCAACTTTATGAGTCTATGATTCTAATTTATGCACAAAAATAGCCTGATTTGGGAACAAAAAACAACAACAAAAATGTTCTCCTTGCAGAAAAAAACTTGTGAATACTTGTGAAAGCAGACATAGCTACCCATGTCTTTTTCAATGAGATACGCTGAATATTAGGAAATTCCTTTCCTGAAAGCAATATTTTTTCTGTATTTGAGTTCTGTATAAAGATGAAATATATGAGTGTAAGCTTATTGTAGAACTTGATACTAGTTAACTGGCCCCAAGAAGACTTGTAACAGTGTTGTGTAGTAGTTTTGAATGTTGAACTATGACTTTGGAGCACAATGTTTGAATTCCTGCTCAGCCATGTTGGAAACCCATTGGGTGACCTTGGGCAAGTTGCACTTTTTCGACTTGTGAGGAAGACATTGGCAACAAGAAAACTGCCAAGAAAACTTTGTGATACATTTGCCATAACCTGGAAATGATTTGAAGGCACACAACACAAACAAAAGGGGAGGAGGGTCTGCATGAGTATCTTCTAGCACACCTGATAACATTCTCAAATATTTGAAATGTTTTCATTTTAGTCCAAGTGGACTTAACCTATTAAGTCAATTGCTGAACGATAGGTCAACGCTCCTTCAAATCCCATTGATTCAGTAGATATGTTGGACAACTGAATTTAAGCCAAAGTTGTTAAACAACTTGTTGTGCATAAACCATATGAAAACTCTACAAATGTAAGCATTTAGAGAGAAATCACATTTTGTGAAAATTACAGACAGGGACTCAAAACACATTTAATGGGAGTTGTTTTCCCTTTCCATTTACACCATCATAAATTACAAAGCATATTTCACTTCACAAAATAAAACCATTTCCATACCATTTTCAACAAGTATTTAGTACATAACCTACAACAATTAAATCTTTACAATTTATGAGAATCTCTGGTAATATTGTACCTGCAAATCTCATCTCCCTACCTTCGGGTCTGCCTACCTAGTCCTTGGTGACCTATGCAAAGGATAACTAATATATGTTGTTTACCCCCTTTGTGCTCCCTTTGTCTTCACCCCCCCTTCCATCAACATTACTGAAATTTAAAAAAAAACTTGTATAGAAATCTGTGATCCCTGAAACAATTCAGGAAATAGTACAATTTGGTTTTGAAACTTGTGATTAACACAAATTAAATATTTTTCTTCTTCTTTAAAATTCAGGTTTGCAATAAACTATGCTACATCTTGTGTTTCAAATATTTGCACAAAAATCTCATGGCAGGGGGAAAAAGTCTAATATTTAGAAGGGACCACATAATTTTAGACCAAGAGGTCAACCAGTGGAAGCACAGACACAAAACCCCCATGAGATTTGGTAATATACCAATTCTCACTCTCTCGAACACATTTGCTTTATATTTCCTTTATTAACAAATTTGCCGGAAGACATTGCAGAAAAATGCTTCATTTTGAACAGGTTTACTTTTATAAATACAACAGCAATGTAAAAGTATCTTGGCATTTTAAAACATCAACATAGTAACTCAATTATTTTAAGTGCTAATCCCAATAATACCAGAACATATCCAATATTCTGGTACCTCCTATTTTAAATATGAATAATGTATAGTAATTGCTGCTATTGCCAAAGCTATTTCAAAATCCTTCATTCCCCCTCTCAGGGGAAGATACAAATAATACGGTATTTTGTTCCAGAATACCATATCTTTAAAAGCAAGTGTACTATTAATTCCTAGAATATAACAAAAACCAAAGAATGTTAAAGTATGCATAAGAAATGGACGTTGTCTCAAAACCAGTTGCAATGAAAGACATATGTCAGAATAATACTGCTGTACTGGTGAATGTTCTCAATATGCCATAGCAAAAATGTTTAAGAGGAATATATGAAAAATCATCAATGCACCGCATTGAATTATATTTTGCTAAAATAAAAAAAGACATTCCTGCAGCGAACTAAAGTTATATATATATATATATTAAATACATGTCTTGTTTCACTTTAGACATATATAATTATGTCTTACATAGAGAGAAATCGTATATCCATATACAGCGAACACGGACAAACATCCTGAAACTAAATATCTTGGACAAGGTAAAGCACCTTCTGATTCTTCTTCATACATGGGAATATTCTCTGTGCATATGGGAATCCTTCATTCTCTTTGCAGAAAACTTTGCTGAACATAGAAGAAAATTAGGGAGTGTCTTCATGAGCAGGGTTCTGACTAGCACCAGGTTGTGAATCATGGTCATTTGATGCATCTCAAGTGAATTATTTTTATACAAGAGGGAAATAATGTAAGATACCAGTGCATGTGGAGCTATGTATTATGGTTATCACATGGGAAATAAATGTCAACAAGAATAATGGCATCTGTTTCCACATGATGATCATGGGTCTAGAGCAGGGGTGTCAAACCCATTTTCACCAAGGGCCACATCAGCCTTATGGTTGCCTTCAAAGAGTCATTTGTAATGGTAAGACTATAAATTTCACTGTGTTGCCCTGGCATTGAAAGCCTCATGGGCCATATAAAATAACGTGGCAGGCCGGATTTGACCTGTGGGTCTTGTGTTTGACACATGTGCTCTAGAGCAGTGGTTCTCAACCTTCCCAATGCTGCCACCCCTTAATACAGTTCCTCATGTTGTGGTGATGCCCAACCATAACACTATTTTAGTTGCTACTTCATAACTGTAATTTTGCTACTGTTCTGAATCATAATGTAAATGTTCTCTCTAGGCATCCGATATGAAGGATTTATTTTCATTCACTGGACCAAATTTGGCACAATACCTGATACAACCAAATGTGAATACTAGTGGGGTTGGGAGGATTGATTTTGTCATTTGGGAGTTGTAGTTACTGGGATTTATAGTTCACCTACAATCAAAGAGCATTTTGAACTCCATCAACAATGGAATTGAACCAAACTTGGCACACAGAACTATTATAGCTAACAGAAAATACAGGAAGGCTTTGGTAGGCATTGACCTTAGTTTTGGAGTTGTAGTACATCTACATCCAGAGAGCAAGAGGAGGGCTTTTGGTGGGAGGTTCACTGTCTGTTTCCAAAAAGGAAGAGAAGAGCAGGCGAAGAGATCTTCAGCCTTTTCTGTCAAAGGGGTTCCTAAGACCATTAGAAATATGTGTTTTCTGCTGGTCTTTGGCGACCCTTCTGAAACCCCCCCTTGCAACCCCCCTCCAAAGGTCCCAACCCCCAGTTGAGAAACACTGCTCTAGAGAGATCCTTTTATGTAGATGTGCCTGGTAAGGGCATCCAAAATGAAATCTCTTTGTACATATGATCTGACCCAGAGGGACTGGAGTATATGGCTCCCATCCTCAAAGTTGCTGTGCTAGCCTAGTTCTTTTCAATAGAAATGGGTCAGCACAGCATCTTCAGAATCATGCCGACTGTATCTTTCTGCTTCAATGATCTAAATAAATGTACAAAATTGTGTCCTTTAATAAGTTAATGGGAGAATAGTCTGTAACCTTTTTTTATATTCCCCTCCCCACTCACACACACTGAAAGGAAGGCAAAAGATGCAAGGCAAGACCATTTCCCTCACCTTTCTTGTCTCTTAAATAATAAAAAGAGGCATATGTCTATGAGACATACCCTTTATTAAATCTTCTAGCATTCATCTGCAAACTGCAGAAAATGAAGTGCTACTCGGGTTCCTTTTCTTTTTAAAAATTGTGGATTTGTTTTCTGTCAAACTTATATTCTCATAGCAGATAGCTATGAATTTACAGCTGTGCCTAAAACAAAACATCTTCATTTTCTATTAATATCTGTACAATCAGCTTCTGGTACCGCATGTCATTGAGGGTAGCAAGGGTGCTGTCTTCTGGAGGTCTCATTAAAGTGGGTCCAAACACAATTCCCAGATTTTCAGCACTCATAAAATTATCTTTTTCATTCATTGTAATCCTAAAAAGTGAAAGTAAGACAAGGGGGAAAAACTTTGTTAGAATTCTCTTGTCAGTGCTTTTACCTCATACTTTTTGTTTCATCTGGTCCATAATTGTCATATTGCCTCTGCAACTACTGGGGAATAGTTTCTTGTTGTTCTGACCATATGATGTATGTTCCAAAGTTTAGAAGAAAATATCACTTTATATAACCATCCTGATGCAAATAGTCTAGAAATGGTAGTCCTACAAAAGAGATCTTTTTACATTCTGAATTGATCCTTACATTCTGAATTTATCTCTACTTATCCTGTCCATTCCTAGAGCCTGCTTCATATCGTTACCTTCATGGTCCTCTATATTCTTGTTCCTCATACTTTCTACTCTGATACCCTGGCTCATTTTTCCAGCAGTCTTCACTTCACATTTGCAGTTTTGACTTTTGTGGCATTGATTATTTACAGATTAAAATGTTCTCTCTAGGCATCTCGAGGTTCTCCCATTTGGCTGTATGGTCAACTTCCTGTAGTCATTCTAGAGGACCTTGAGATTTCTAGAGAGAACATTTCTCTAGGATTTTCCAGGAGACGTTAACCATGGAATTGTGCTGGAAGATCTGGAAATTCCTGGAAGTGTTCTCTCAGGTAAACAATAATAAAGAAATAATAACGTGCTCCTAACCCCTGTGAATGCAGAGGGATGACTATAGAAAATTTTCTAATAAAGTATGACTCCCATATTTGTGGAACCAATATATGTGCTTTCATTTATCCATGCTTTACTTATTAACATAAGGCCTCCTGTACAAGATACACACTCTTCTCAGTACATCCATCATTGCCCATTCTATATAATGGCATTTGCTATTTTCTGCAGTTTCATGTATCCACACCAAGTATGGAAACATGTCCTCAGCAAATATGGGAGTTGTACGGTACTTCATTTTTATAATGTAAGATTTGCAACAAACATTGTACTGTAAATCAGTGGTTCCCAACCTTTTTTTGACCTGGACCACTTGACCAGGGACAACTTTGACCAGGGACCACTCTCCAACATTAGTACCAAAAGGGTTATGAATCAGTTTTTGATCAACTTTAGAATCGGTTTGGTTATTTGGGGTGCTGATTCAGAAAATTGCATTCGATAGACCACATCAGCTCTAGTTTCTGATACAGAATATATGCCATCCAGTAGTCACTATCTGCTTGCCCACAGAAAACCATATTTAATAAGCTTCGACACTATAAGAGGATGTCGCGAGACCGGTCGCTCTTGTTGCAATGATGTAGTAACGGTGAGGCCGCGGCCCATATTTTAATTCTTGTGAACCACTGGTGGTCCATGGACCACAGGCTGTTAACCACTGCTGTAAATCAAATGCATGGACACTCTTTCAAGACAAGTTAAATACATTTTCAGGAATGTTCTCAGAGTTAGCAATTATATGGCGAACCAAATAGAAAAGTATGGAAGCAAAAATGTCAGAATATTTTAGATTAATGCTCTTACTACCAGTATCTAAGCCACAAGAAGGGCATTCCAATATTTCAGAATAGGATTACAATTGTGCAGAAGCCACCAAATGAGTGTCTCAAGGTGGAGGGGTGGGGTAGCCATTTCGAAATCCCCAGAGGGCTAGATTTTATTTTATATTTTGACTTTCTCCAAATCTTTTTTAAATAGACAGCCACTGCAATGGTCAGCTAATAATAATAATTCAGGTACTTTTTCTATTGCTGTACACCAGTCTATACATATTTCAATTTGCAAATGAAAATGCTCTACATGTGGATAAATAGACTTCAGTGGAGAAAGCAGATCTTTTGGAATCAGTGCTGGATCAAAGAGGGAAACTCCTCTGGTCAAGATTTCCAGGTGAAGGGCTCGCATGCAAATTGGTTGATTTCATGACTTTTCCTGCTGCAAACATACCAAGGACCGGATCCAGACAAAGAGTGAATCCACTCTTCACAACCATAGCACCTTAATTCAACTTTAACTGCTATCCTATGGACATGTAGTTTTACGGGGTACTTAGACTTCTCCACAAGGCAAATGGATTAGAGAGAAAGCTACAGATCCCAGGATTCTATTGGATGAAACCAGGGAAGCTGGTAACAAAAAGCTAGACTTAACTATGGTTTTTATAATGATTTATTGTACCAACAGTCTGGTACTCATTTACAGATTTTTGTTAAATTTTTATGGTCATGGCTTGCAGAGATGCATGAATCTGATGTACAAAGTTATTAAAATCCGGCCCAAATGTTGGAAAATTGAAGACATAAAATGGGTCTATGTAGAAATTTCCTGTGATATTTTTACTTAAGTTGCTCCTGACACACACATACACACACAAATTTAGAAAGAAACATTTGGTGGCAAGATGATGGAACATCCACTTAGAGCAAATGTGGGAAACTGTGATTTATGAGCAGCATATGACTCTTGTGTTGTTTTGCAGCTCCCCAGCCCTCCCAATTTCCCATTTTTTTTAAAAAGCTAAAAACACACAGAGGGAAAGAAATTGTATGAACAATCCTATGAGCCCCCCCCCCCCCGGGCCCCGGACTGTTTCAGCCCTAGTATAGGCCTTCATTTAACAAGGAAATAAATAGGAAGCTGAGCTCTGATTTACTGTTGTCCCTCCGCATTTGCATTTTGACTTTTGCAAATTTGGTTGTTCATTAATTTGATTAATTTTTTCTCTCTCTAGGAATTTCTAGGCCCTCTAGTGTGAATCTATGGTCAGCCTCCAGTGGATATCAACCATATTTATGCTGGAAAATCTAGAAATTCCTAGAAAGTTTTCTCTCATGTAATTTTTTTTAGCAATTTCCTTATTCATTTTTTTTTTTTTTTTGCTTTTGCATCTCTGCCTCTAACTCCAGCAGCTGTGGAGAACTGAAATAGGCTGAGGAGGGGAAATGTTTTTGAATGGCTCTAACATCACTTATGGGGTATGGAGATGAGAACTGAGTAATTTGTTTTAAAATAAATTCTGAGGATATTGATATTGGGTAAAGCGTCTCATCTCTTTAGAGCAGTGGTTCTCAACCTGTGGGCCACGGACCACCAGTGGGCTGCAAAGACAAAAATCTGGTCCGCAAGCCTCCTTTCTCTTTACTTATTTTATTTATGTCTGCTTCTTTCATGCCACCTGCCACTCCTTACCTGTCGCTGACCATGGCATATGTTCTGTTTTAGAAACTAGAGCTGGTGTGGTCTATCCAATGCAGTTTTCTGAATCAGCACCCCAAACCGTATCTAAAGTTGACCAAAAACTGATTTTTAACCCGTTTGGTACTAATGTTGGAGAGTGGTCTCTGGTCAAAGTGGTCCCTGGTCAAGTGATTCCTGGTCAAAGTGGTTCTTGGTCAAAAAAAAGGTTGGGAACCACTGCTTTAGGGTCTTGCCAGGCCTGCCGGATCTCATGAATGAATGAATGAATGAATGAATTTCACTACGGTCTCAGACCAGTATTTTAAAGATATTAAAATCAAATAAATGTACTTTTTGAGATGAATCATCAGATATCGAAGCGTCTCATAGTGAGCAGCAGGAAGTAACAGCAGCACTTCATGGACAGCTTCTAGCCTTTCATCAGGATTGCAGAGTTCTGTGTGATACAAACCAAGGTTTACATAAGATACTGTAGATGTAAACATCAATGTTCAATGCAGATATTTTCATTTATGGAATTTGCCACTCATTTTCTCCCAAAAAAAATGACACTTAAAGTGACCAAACAAACCCAGGAATCACAATGAAAAGTATTAGAACTGTAGAATAAAAGGAAGGGTGCCAATGCAGTGGTTTGAGTGGTTGATTGAGACTTTGGGGGACTCAAATACCCTATTACCCATGGAAACCCATTGGGTGACTACGGGCATGTCACTCTTTTTCAGATAAAGGCAATGGCACATCTTCTGTAAATTAATCTTGCTAAGTAAACTCCAATGTGTGCATCTCTAAATTGTAGAATTAATGTAGCTTAACACCACTTCAAATGCCATGGCTCAATGCTAGGAATATGGGAGTTATAGTTTAACAAAGTCTCTAGCCTTCTCTGCCAGAGAGTGTTAATGTCTCACCAAATTACAAAGCCCAGCATTCCACACTATTGAAACATAGTAGTTAAAGTAGTGTCGAACTGCATTGATTCTATGGCATGGATGACCACTCTGAAGGCAGATTTAAATTCCATTCAAAACCTTTGTAACAAAGCAGAGTATTCAATATGTGTTCCCACACTAATATAGATGCACCCTAAAATAGGGTCACAATAAGTCAAATTCAGCTTGATGGCACACAACAACAACAGTTAGAGTTATGAAAAAGAATTACGGTGTATATAAAAAAGATGGCCTGCTTTGCTACTTACTTGCTGCCTCTATAAACTTGGAATACGTATCATAAGTGATGATGGGAATGGGCAAGTCTCTGAAATACAGCTTTAATGCTCCAGCAATTATATTTATATCTGGATACAGGTTGGCGGAAACATCAGCCTTGTCACCATCTAGAAAAAATATGGATAGATTTGAAGAATTTTAAAAATTTCAACAGATATTTCATGATTTTCCCTAGTAAATAAAATATACATGCCACTTTAAAATTACTCAAATAGAAAAAGACTAATGTTGCCACTGCTGTACACAAGAGGGTGAGGAATAAGTAGGAGAGAAGGTGAGAGTGAATATACGTTAAACTGCAATAAATTCAGCTTCCATTTTTTAGATTTCCTGGAATCTGAGCAGGAGCCAAAAATAGAATATTAGAGCCTGAAAGTTACTTTTTGGGGGATACCAATTGCAGGAATCCCCAGCCAACATGGTCAATGAGAGTGGTGGTCCAAAAAGTAACTTTTACAGCCTCTGTTAGTCCTTTTGTGTAGCTCTGCATACCTTATAGTTTATTTGAGATGATTTTCAAAGGCATTCCCTTAAGGAAATTGAGCTTAAATTTGGTTACAAGTGACCCACCTTCTGTACATTTAGGAAAGCATTTGCTTTTCAAAGCAGGACACATACAGTTTTGAGAAACCTGGTTCATTCAAAATTTTGGTCATTCCACCAAGTGAACCCTCGTATTAGAATTTGATATAAGACAGCACCACTTTTGCCATCACAGAGTTTATTTTGCCCCAGCCAGGCTCATATTTATCCTTGTGTACTTGACATGGTAGAACCAGTATTATGAAACACTGTTTGGACAGTTCTATTTAATTACAATACAGTAAGCATTAAAGTGTTACACTGAAAACAAGTGGTTTGAAAAATACTGCAGCTGCTTCTGTATCCATTTAAAACCATGCTGCGTCCATTGGATAGAAAAGTTATTGGTTTATTAAAGTGACCGCCTTAGTTTATTGTCACAAGTTATAAAATTCAAAATTTTTACATTAAGTTTATAGGTATTTCTTTGTAGCACCTTTGGCACTATAAGTGGTATGGTGAAAATCAGATGAATTCTTCCATTATTGTAGGACTTCATTTTTAATATGTTTATTAAAATATGTATATTATTTGAATGTGTATATTGAGCCATTCACAAGACAAAGGAACATAAATGCACACCTAAAAGTGAACCTCCAAGTAGAAAGAAAAGGGATATGAGTTTTAAAGGCCATTTTAATGTAACTGCTGTATTTTAATTCTTTTTTTTACCGTACTGTTATTATTTAATTGTTTTTTTAACTTTTATATTGCTCTTTTCAAATTGTTTAGTGTGGATAGATGTTAGCCGCCTTGAGTCCCTGTTCTGTTCACGCACTGACTATTAATCTGGAAGGTATTGTGGTACAAGAACAGATCTGAAACTATATTGGTAATTCAAAAAAGCAACATTTTATTAACAGACAAAACTTAATATTTTCTTCCTGGGTAATACTATAAACCAATGGTTCTTAACCTGTGGGCTGCGGACCAGCAGTGGGTTGCGAGGACAAAAATCTGGTCCAAGAGCCTCCTTCCTCTTTCTTTATTTTATTTCCGCTCCTTTTGCACTGCCTGCCACTCCTTCCCTGTCTCTGGCCATGGCATATGGCATATATTCCACACCTGGAATATTGTGTCCAATTCTGGGCACCACAATTCAAGAGAGATATTGACAAGCTGGAATGTGTCTAAGAGGAGGGCGACTAAAATGATCAAGGGTCTGGAGAACACGACCTATGAGGAGCGGCTTAAGGAGCTGGGCATGTTTAGCCTGAAGAAGAGAAGGCGGAGAGGAGATATGATAGCCATGTATAAATATGTGAGAGGAAGCCACAGGGAGGAGGGAGCAAGCTTGTTTTCTGCTTCCTTGGGGACTAGGACGCGGAACAATGGCTTCAAACTACAAGAGAGGAGATTCCATCTGAACATTAGGAAGAACTTCCTGACTGTGAGAGCTGTTCTGAAGTGGAACTCTCTGCCCCGGAGTGTGGTGGAGGCTCCTTCTTTGGAAGCTTTTAAACAGAGGCTGGATGGCCATCTGTCAGGGGTGTTTGGATGCAATATTCCTGCTTCTTGGCAGGGGGTTGGACTGGATGGTCCATGAGGTCTCTTCCAACTCTTTGATTCTATGATTCTATATCAGAAACTAGAGTTGATGTGGTCTATCCAATGCAATTTTCTGAATCAGCACCTCAAGCCAAATCTAAAGTTGACCAAAAACTGATTTGTAACCCTTTTGGTACTAATGTTGGAGAGTGGTCCCTGGTCAAAGTGGTCCCTGGTCAAAGTGATTCCTGTTCAAAACAAGGTTGGGAACCACTGCTATGAAGTCTCTGTGAGGAAAGGTATGTTCTTGGGTATGCACACAGTTCTGGCTCTTGGATCTTTTCTCTTTCTTAATGACCATTGCTTGTAGTTGTCTGTTTGTCTGTTAGATGTTATTGATGTTTAACTTGATTTGATGTTACTTTGCTATATATCTTCAACATGACATATTATTTCACTATATAGCTCCGACGTGACGTTTTATTTTAGTATTTTGTATATAGCTCTGACATGACGTTCTATTTTTTATATCTTCTAGTCCTTCACTCTTTAGCTTCCAGAGCTACACTAACTGAACACACTAACTGCCACTTCATGAAACCAGAAATGTCAAGGCTGAGGCTCCAGAAGATCATTAAAGGGGCAGGGCAAGAGAGGCTCTAAATGCAAAAGGGGAAAGACTATTTAAACTGACCCTCTTCAGAACTGTACATACAATGCTAAACCCAACTAACTAAAAGGAAATGATTAGGGGTAATTAGTGAGGGTTTCTCTGGGGGCACAACACTCCCCATGAGAGGCTGGATGATTATAATGATGGCGATAATAATAATAATAATAATAATAATAATAATAATAATAATAATAATAAAAGATACAGCATGTGAATCCTCTTTTACAGACATCACAATGCAATGTATACAAGAAGTGGTGTCAAGCAGGACAAACAAAAGCTCAGAATGCATTGGTCACAATCAAATTCTAAAAACAAACTATACAATGAATGTTTTATATGTTAGTCGGAAGAGAACTGGTCAACAATAACAGCACAGTGTTGCTGAACAGTATCTACATTCATTCAGTAGAAGAATAAAGAAAAAAAATCTTGATAGGGCATCAGTGGAAATAACCATCACCAACCCACTTGCTTGATTATTTTATTTTATAGCACACAATTTCTTATTATCTATACCCTGTTTATTTTGGGAAATTTTAAAATGGGTGGTATGAATGATCTGCTATGTAAGAAGGTTCCTGAAGAAGGTACATGTAGGACGTGTAGCAAGTTAATGTGGGATGCACAAAGAAAGATCCCACATGAACAGACAAGTGGTAAATGCCAAAAGAAATAAGTGCATAATAAAATAGAAATATATATCTATTGCAGGAAACAATGGGAAACAGATCTTTCTTTTCTTTCTCAACACGAGCAATTCAATGAAAATGGTTTGTACACAAGGCAATGGTACAGTTGGGACACTTGTCATAGCTAAAATGTACAGTACCTCGATCAAAGGCAATTTTGACATCTTCAATGTGTTCGGTGAACCCTGAGACTCTGTAAATCCCTTCTGACTTCAAACCTGTAAAGCAAAAATTCATCAGCTGTTGTTTTGTCTACAGATACATATTCCATCTATTTACTTTTACCAGCCCTTCTTTTCACAAGTGAGCTTCACCCTTGTGAATTCTCTCATTGAGAGATCCTAAATTATTCAACGTTATCACCATCTTCAGATCAGGTTTTTACACACTATGCCAGTTTGGTCCCAGAACAGGAAATGTTCTGGGAATCATAGCTTTTAAAGAATTATTTTGCACAGCTCAGTGAAGCATGAAAGGAAATCAATTGACCAAACTCTTAAGAAATAGCTTCCTGTCAGCATTTTGCAAGGAAGGTGCAAGTGTTGAATAAAAATAATGAATGGAGGCTACACAGAAGGCTCTGTTAAGTAAGATATTTGTCCATAAAAGGCTTTCATTTCATGCATATTTTCAGACCACCATCCTTCTAACTTAATTTTGCCTACTAGGACTAGCAATATATTGGCATATTTTCTAACAGAGGTCTTTGTAAGCCCTAATTTTTTTTTTACTAGAGATACCAAATGTTATATAAAACATGATTCCACTGTAAAGACATATGGCTCATCCTCCAAATTCATGATTTCACCTTTTTAAACCTTTGGTTTAAATTTAATAACCATTGCTCTGTTAATTTAGTAGCTTAGACATCACAAGAAGGCAAATAAAAGGATTTAATGAGAGTTTCCTATCCAACTCTTTCTCTCTCCAGCCATCTGAAAGGCATCTGGAAAAGCAAAGGCAAGGAATCCTGAAAAATATGGAATAATAAGCAGGTGTTTCCCTTCCATGAACTTTTAAAGGTTCTGTTACAATCCCACTTCGATTATGGGGCAGTTATGGTCTTTCTCACAATTCCAGTATCACATCCCACATGGTTCAGGAGGACCTTCCACTCCAAAGTACATTTGGAAGATATATGGTTGCAAGTGAGAAAAAGGACTGGAAGCTTTTGTTTCATAAATGTCCTCAAGGCTACAATCCTGTAGAGCTGTGGTTCCCAACCTTTGGTCCTCCAGGTGTTCTGGAGTTCAGTTCCCACAATTGCTAACACCTAGTAAACTGGCTGGGATTTCTGGGAGCTGAAGTCCACAACACCTGGAAGACCAAAGGTTGGGAACCACTGCTGTAGAGCAGTGGTTCTCAACCTGTGGGTCCCAAGATGTTTTGGCCTTCAACTCCCAGCAATCCTAACAGCTGGTAAACTGCCTGGGATTTCTGGAAGTTGTAGACCAAAACACCTGGGGACCCACAGGTTGAGACCCACCACTGTAGAGCAAAAGAGAGCAAAGTACTGTTTTGTGACTACTAAAAGCCCCCCTTGCAGGTCAACTAACTTTTTTGCAATTTCCCCCCAAACATACCTCCTCAGAATATGGCCTCAATGTATGTGGAGGGCATTTCTATTATGCTTCAACTCCAAAATGTCTTATGGGGTGCGTTTTGCAACCTTCCACCAGGGCAATTTGTGCTTAGGGAAAGACTATTTAAAATAGAAAGTATTTTTTGCTTACTTCCTGTGGTTAAAAGGTTAATATACACCTAAAGAAGCTTGCAAAATATGATGAAACAGTATTCAATTTCATCAAAAATGTAAAAACTTGGAATACCTCGTGCTTCAATTTCCCGAATGCAAATATCCACCACCATGGGTCTTTGTGTGTTGTGCGCTTTCACTAGCGTAGTGAGATCACAGCAGTACACTCGTTTGATCCTTTTGAGGTCCGGCTGACAGTCATTGGGAACATATTTTGAACACTGTTTATGTACGTTGAGTCCGCAATCTATTAAGAAAGTAGTATAATTAATTTTGAAATTTTTATCACATTTGGAAATAAGGAAAACATGCACACATACAGGCACTTTTTCTAAAATAAATTTAATTTGTAATGTGCCATAGACATGAAAATAGAATATATAAAAACAATACTGAAAAGGTCTTTGTATAACCTAAGCCTGAAATCCTACATGAATACACTTGGCAGTAACCCACACTGAACGGAATGGTAGACCTATATAGAATTGCAGTGAAATATTATTTAGGATAACAGGTAAAATATGGAAATGCAACAGAGCTCTAGCTAAGTAGTCTAATAAGACAGGTACATCATATCCATTTGAATAATATAGACAAAATCAAATATCGTGGCCATCATGTGGAGAATGCTGGAAATGCTCCATATACTGAAATAGTGCTAGGAGTCCTTGCTTTTTTCCCCCTACTACTGATTTTTTCTACTATTTTCAATTAGAAATTGCAACAGTGGGTTATATATTTTTTAAACCCACACAAAATAAAATTCAAATCAAATAAAGTCAAATAGATCAAAATATACAAGAACTGAATGGTAGAAGAATCTTTAAAAGCCACATGCAAATAATGAGAAGGACTGAAATTATGTCTAAAAAGCCTGATAATATAGGAAGATCTCAGTCTGGCATGGAAAGGGGAATAAAGAAGGCACAAGGACAATAATGCATATTGGGCAGTGGGATATCTCTCTCTGGTAAACATTTGGGTGACTTCAAGTGAGAGGGGCATCCACATAAAGTCTTACTCTGAGGATCTTAACATGCAGGTATTTGAGATATGAAAGAAGTCATGTAGGAAAAACATGGTATGAGAGAGGGAAGGAAGGCAGGACTGAGAGACAGAAATAAGATTGGCAACCAGTATATGCAATAAGGAAGTTAACTGCTACAGTGTGGTGGACATATGCAAGAAAAAACTGCAAGAATATCACAGCAGGGTGCATGGAACATCGACATTAACTATAACGTCAATAATATGATAACACTGTTTCAGAGATTCTATATTGATTCTTATATAAAGTATCACTGTACCCATGGAGTACAGTAAAGTCTCGCTAAAGTCAACCTTCGCTCATCCAACATTCTGTATTATCCAATGCAGTCTGCCTCCTGCCCATATCCACAGCTATTTCAATTCATTGCAATGTTTTGGTGCTAGATTCGTAAATTCAGTAATTACTACATAACGTTACCGTGTATTGAACTGCTTTTTCTGTTGATTTGTTGTAAAACATGATGTTTTGGTACTTAATTTGTAAGATCATAATGTAATTTGATGTTTAATAGGCTTTTCCTTAATCCCGCCTTATTATCCAATATTTTTGCTTATCCAACGTTGTGCTGGCCCGTTTATGTTGGATAAGTGAGACTCTACAGTAATATGAACTTTACAAAGGTAGTCAGTTGTGTGAATCAGTTTCCTGGAAACCTTCAGTGATTTCTGTAATTTCACAAAGCTGTGCAATGATTTCATAGATATTCACAGATATATCAAAGATATGTTGCTCCAGTATATGCTAATGAATAGTTCTTATACCACAATTGAACACCTACTGTCCTTTTAACTATGACATTTTTAACTAAGGATACTTTTGACTTGGTGACCCTAGTTGAAGGAACCATTTATTTATTTATTTGTGGCATTTCCACCCTGCCTTTCTCTACCCCAGAGGGGACTCAAGGCAGTTATTGATTAGGTAGTTTAGCTGAACTACATCTTGGAATTCCCTGTGTTGTTAATTCAAATAATTGTCTTTCAAATGCCCCACCTGGTAAAATGGAGGGAAATAACAGTTCTTTTCTCCACTAGGCATTCTTGCTAAAAGAGGCTGCTCTCTGCAGTAAATAACATCATGGCTATGGGGAATCTCAGTGGGAAAATGGTGTGTGTATACAATTTGTGGAATCTTGGCTCTGCCTTTTCCTCTCCTTTGCTTCACTTCCGCCTGTTTATAGGCCTTCCCAATAGTGTAGAGACCCTCCTTTGAATTAGTTTTTTTGGTAGAGCTTAAAATCCCCCCAGAGGCCATTGTTAGTTGGTCTATTCCATTTCCCTGTATAGAGCTCTTGCTGGACTCCTTCTTTTTCTGCATCAGAGCTACAGTCAATAGGCTTGGATATTGTTTGAAATCCTAGGCCCAAGCAATCCAAAAAGGCGTTCTTAACACCTGCTGCATTGAGCAGTATTGTTATACCAATAGTCCAAAGGACAACAGAAGCTTTCTGGCCAGCCTAAGCTTCACAGGAGAGAAGAGTAAGACAGTTTGTAAGCAACAACTTATAATCCATCACTTTGCATCAGAGGCAGAAGATTCCAGAAAGATGACTGCAGCCAGCAATTTCTCCCTTTGTAATGTATTGTTTTAAATTATCTTATAATAGTCCCTGGTAGAATTAACCCTTTATTCATCTTGTTTCAGTGAATAAAGGGCTATCTTTTCACTTTGCCTCAAAGTGCATCTGTCTGCTAATGGTCTTGATCTTAACAGAAGGTATTACATAGCCCCTGAGTAAAGCCAGACACTATAGTTTTCCCAAAGGCTTGGATGTGCCATCACAAATACCCAATAGTTAAAATATGTGTTAAAATGTTAATTGTATAAATAATATTATTTTTTTGTTTTAATGTACTTTTGACTGTGTTGTAAATTTTTTAGTGAGCATCCACATGCGAGCCCATCAGCACATTTCCCTTATTCCTCTCCACATAAAAGCCCAAAACTATTGAAGCATGAATATTCAGGAAAAAAAATTATTAATAAAATAACTGCTTCCCTGTCAAGGCTGCAAGCATCTCAGACCCAAATTATGTTTTCCTTTTATTTCTCATATTCTAGAATGCTATCCTAGAATAGCATTCAGTGATTGCAGTTTATGTCCTGGAATTTGTGAAGCAGCAATAGAAAGTGCCTCTGAGCATATTCCACATTTACTCCTCACACCACATTTTCCTAAATGAGGTCTCGTACTAAATGACCTCTGTGCCTTTAACTAAATCTATCTGGGTTATTGAGCTTGTTTAGACAGAAACTGCCACATAATGCATTGTCGGTCAATGAAATCAAAACAAACTCATTCAGTTGTACTTAAGTTACTCCCTTCATTGTTTTTTGAGTTCTTACCAAAGCATGTGTAGTTAAAAACTTGTTTGTCTGCTCAGAGTTAAATGCTGATAATCTAATGAAGCATAATGCCAAAATTTAGACTATATAAGCATGTTTTTTCATAAGTTTAAGACTGTGAATCATGAAAGCAAATGCAGCAATACTGATTATGTTTATATGCAGATTTCTTACATATTTACAGTCAGCCCTCCACATTCAGTGAGGTTACAATCACAAAACCCCTGTGAAAGTGGAAAACTAATGCATTTTTTTACAATCTGAGTGATAGGGCTTCCACTGGAAGTTGACCATAAAATCATACTGGAAGATAGAGATCCATAGAGGTGTTCCCTCTTGAAATCTCTGGCATCTTCAGCATGCCTGGAGGAAAGTGACCACAGCGTCAAACTGGAGAACCCTGAATTCCTAGAAATATTTTAAATCAAATCTGTGAATACTCAAATCCACAAAATTTGATTATTCTGCAAATGTTGAGGGACAATGGTATTACTACTTTTAAAGTCTTCCCCCTCAAGCCAAAGAGGAAGATACATAGTTCTCAACCACCCTTGTGAAGCATGAATCACTATGCTGAGAAACATTTTGACTTCGATCCCTACTACCAGAGGTCCCCAAACTAAGACCAAATGTGGGCTGGATGCAGCCCTCCAAGTTCACTTACTCAGCTGTCACCCAAAACTTGACACTTACGGTCGGCCCTAAGTCTGAACGACTTGAAGGCACACAACAACAACAATCCCAATTAGCTTGACTATCTCATCAGTCAAAAGCAGGCCCACATTTCCCATTGAAAGACTGGTAAGTTTGTGTTGGTTAAAACTGTTCTTCATTTTAAATATTGTATTGTTCTTTCATGTTTTTGTACACTACAAATAAGGTACGTGCAGTGTGAATAGGAATTCGTTCATGTTTTTTTCAAACTATAGTCCAGTCCCTAACAGTCTGAGGGACCATGAACTGGCCCTCTGCCTAATAGTCTTTTACTGGTGACTGTAGTCATGATTATGTGCACACATGTGGTCCGTCCATGAATCTAACTCTTTTCAGTGAATGGGGTATTTGTTCAGAAGAATTTGCCTTTGCCTTCTCTTAGACTAAGAGGGTCTGACTTTCCCAAGGTCATCCAGTAGGTTTCCATGGATGAGTGGAGATTAGAAATCTGGTCTCCAGAGTCGTTGCCCAGAGTTCAAACCGTATACCATGCTGGCTCCCATCCGACAGCTAGAATTTTGTCATTACCTCTTTAAATTACTCCAGATGAAGATGATATTGTAGAAATGTTTCAATTCTGGTTGATTTTAACATTGCCTTCTGAAACTATATATTTATATCTATCTATATTTATTTTTTTGCTGAAAAAATTAGAACAATAAATTGTTTACAATTACCTGAACATCTCACTCCCTGAGCAATGAGTCCCCACATGAAATTGGCACAATATTCACACCAATGTGGACCTCGAAATGTATGGACCTGAAACACAGAAAAGAGAGAAATTCCAGGATCACTGGGAGGCAGATGGCTTGACAGATGGAAGAAACAGAAGAAAGAAATAAGTAACAAAGAACTAAGTTAAGAACAAGTCTTCCTCACAGATGTCTGCATCACAAGTGCTGTGGGTAATAAGCCCAGGGAGAGAGAAAATTGCTTTGGGTCTCAAGAGCTTCTCTTTATTTTACAGAAACAAAGCAAACACCACCAAAGCACTGCATGACATTGAAATAAACCGATTTAACCCTGCCTTTAATGGGATTAATGTTTCACATGTGCAAAATGAAAGTGCTGGGAGGGGCATAGCTTAGTGACAGAGCACATGGTTTGCATAAAGAATGCCCCAGGCTCAGTTCCTGGCAATGCCAAAAAGGTTTGGGAAAGGCTCTTCTCTAAGACCTTGGAATGCAGCCATCAGTCAGTATATAAACAATACTGAACTAGATGACCTCATTAAATATAAGGCATATTCATAAGTGTAACTATCTACAGTCAGCCTTCCACATTTGTTGGGGTTAAAAATCCAGTGAAAGTGAAAAAACACAAATAAAGAAATTGCTAATTTTTAGAAACATGTGGAAATTTCTAGGTCTTTCAAAAGGACTCTACTGTCATCTTCTATTTCTGGGATTTTCAGCAGGACTCTATGATCAGCTTAATCAAGGAAGAGTTTTGCTGGAAGTTGAACATAAAACTGCACTGGATTACCTAGAGATGGTTTCTCCATAGAACTCTCTAGACCAGTGGTTCTCAACCTGTGGGTCTCCAGATGTTTTGGCCTTCAACTCCCAGAAATCCTAACAGCTGGCAAAGTGGCTGGGGTTTCTGGGAGTTGTAGGCAAAACATCTGGGAACCCACAGGTTGAGAACCCTGCTCTAGGTCCTTCAGCATGGCTGGAAGAAGTTGACCATAAAATTACTGGAGAATATTGAGATTCCTAGGATAACATTTTAATAAAAACTGTGAATAATCACTTCCTCAAAAGTCAGAACCACAGATATGAAGAGACAACTGTATAACTTCATGTCAAAACATAATATGAAAATAAATTTAATTAATTTCAGTAGAATTGCTTTACATGTATAAATACCATTTTAAATACATGGTTGCTATTACAATGTGCAGAAGGCTTATTAATTCAAACATGGTCCAGGAAATATGTCCTGTGTCGCTTAAATTGATTCTATTAACAGCTGGCACATGGGAGAGATGGAGGCCATAGCTACACAACCAGAAGAAAAATATGATAAAGAGCATTATACAACTGGGTATTGCCTATTTTTTCAGTCTTTTCAGATAAAAAGCTTGGGAGCTGTAGTGATTTGAGCCTTGGATGAGGACTGTGGGTACATCCACACTGGACAATTAACACAGATTTACAAGATCTTTAGCATTCTCTGCCAAATTCACCAAATTACAAATCCCAGGTATTCATAGCATTGAGCCAGGCCAGTTAGAAGTGTGAAATTGTATTATTTCTAAAGTGTAGATGCACCTCCTGTGACAGTGGGTTTCAGTTTCTTTTCAAAGTCTTTTTAATGAAGCAGAACATTCAAAATATTTTCTCACACTGGTATTTTTCAGTCCATTTAGCCTTCTACAGCATGACTTTGCTGCACGTGTACATCCAGAATGCTGGTTTCCTACTGTTTCTAACATACAATCTAGAGTTTATTTTGAGCAATGTGTTGTGACTCCAAGCATCAGAGGTGCCTGGCTTCAGATGATTCCCTTCTATGAACCAAATGTACGATCAGTCTTTCCCACCCATCTCTAATGTTTATTTCTCATGGAGAACAACGGAATGCTTCTATGGAAAAAAAATCTTGATGGCAGCACTGTGTGTTTCAGACTGTGGTACCAGGCAGTAGATTGACCTGAAAAGTCTTCTATGGAAACAAACAATTCATTGAAATTGTACAGAATCTTTTAATGCACTATATTAAAATAAACACAAAACAAAGGGATAAGAATTTGAAAACTGTATTCCCTTTATCACACACACTGGAATGTGAATTGATAATATCCTCATGCTTCCTAACATGACAGAACTAGTTCTTTATGCTCAAAATTTAGCAATGCCAAGGGAATTGCCTTTTGAGAACATCTGGAAAAAACTCAAAATGCTTCAATCAATGCGAAAGGAGTCTGATATATTTCAAATCTTTGGGCTGTCTCAGGAAAATAATGTTTATACAAAGAGAGATCTGTTCCTGAGTCATAAGCCCAAAGAGTTGGGCCGAATTAGCCTAAAGCACCAGACACTATCTGATCTTGAAAGCTGAGCAGGATCAGCCCTGGTTAGTACTTAGATCAGTGGTTCTCAACTTTCCTAATGCCGCGACCCCTTAGTACAGGTCCTCATGTTGTGGTGACCCCCAACCATAAATTATTTTTGTTGCTACTTCATAATTGTAATTTTGCTACTGTTATGAATTGTAATGTAAATATCTGATATGCAGGATGTATTTTCATTCACTGGACCAAATTTGGCACAAATACCCGATACGGCAAATTTGAATACTGGTGGGGTTGGGGGAGGGATTGATTTTGTCAGTTGGGAGTTGTAGTTGCTGGGATTTATAGTTCACCTTAAATCAAAGAGCCTTCTGAACTCTATCAATGATGGAATTGAATCAAACATGGCACACAGAATTCCCATGACCAAGAGAAAATACTGGGAAGCTCTGGTGGACATTGACCTTGAGTTTTTGGAGTTGTAGTTCACCTACATCCAGAGAACACTGTGGACTCAAGCAATAATGGATCTGGATCAAACTTGGCACAAATACTCAATATGCCCAAATGTGAACACTGGTAGAGTTTGGAGAAAATAGACCTTGCCATTTGGGAGTTGTAGTTGTTGGGATTTATAGTTCACCCACAATGAAATAGCATTCTGAACCCTACCAACGATAGAATTGGATCAACTTCCCACACAGAACCCCCATGACCAACAGAAAATACTATGTTTTCTGATGGTCTTTGGCGACCCCTCTGACACCCCCTCGTGACCCCCACAGGGGTCCCGACCCCCAGGTTGAGAAACACTGACTTAGATGGAGCCCCGGTAGTGCAATGGGTTAAACCCGTGCGCTGCCAGGACTTGAAAGACCGACAAGTCACAGGTTCGAATCCGGGGAGAGCGCGGATGAGCTCCCTCTATCAGCTCCAGCTCCCAATTGCAGGGGCATGAGAGAAGCTTCCCACAAGGATGATAAAACATCCGGGTGTCTCCTGGGTAACGTCCTTGCAGACAGCCAATTCTCTCACACCAGAAGCAACTTGCAGTTTCTCAAGTCGCCCCTGACACCAAGAAAACGGTATTTTTTTGAAAAAGATTACAAATGAAAAAAATGCATTGGCTTGCATGACTCTGAATGTTTGTCCTTGGACCATCATATTTCTGGTGGTGCCACTGCTCTGTTACATCAGGACAACATTTGATCGCTTATGTCAATTTTATATAATTTCAGCTATTTTAATGTCATGATGGAACATAATTACATGACTGTTACTTGTAACTTTATATAATTAACAACACAGTATATCATAATCACTCAATAAGAGTCAAAAGGGAACATTGTAAGGTTGAATCAAAATAAATAACAAAGAGATTTATGCAGACATTCCAAGCAATGGTTGGGTAAGTGCTGGTTTTTGCATATTTGAATCAACTACAGACACAGGCAAATTATTATTGACTTCTTCTCTTCGCCAAGTTAAATAAGTAAACTTGTTTTATGCAGACCACCAAAATTTAAACAGACCCTTATTCAAGAAAAACACAGTAAGTGCCATTTTGCATCAAATCTGTACAAGCAATAACAATAAACAGCATGATAGGCACAAATGAAATGCCTGTTTTGCAGAAAATGCTAGTTTTAAATTCAGCATTCATGAAGCTGCTTACACAGAGGTCTTTTGAAATTTAAAACATGGACATGATACATAAAATTATATCTTTTACAGTCTAGCATGGGGGTGGACAACTTTGGGCATTCCAAATGTTGTTGAACTATATCTCTCCTCATCCTCCGATTTGTTGGCTAGGGCTGCTGGATGATGTTTTCTGTGAACATCTGGACACAGGGTCACAATTTGTCCTTCTCATCCTTAGTCTATGACAATTAGCAAACTATTGCACACAGTGAATGTACTTGGAAGGAAAAGTTGAACCCTTAGCATTTAAGGAAGCACATGAAACCAAGTTTTGGAGCATTGGGCAATTGGGAGGCTTGATGTAAGCTGCTGTTAGGAGAACATTCAGTAGATCCAAAGATATCTGACTTTATTCACTTTGGCCTTATCTATGCTAGCAGAAACTCCCGGACGCACCTCGAATGGACGACTGTCTGTCTTCATGATGCACAGCTACTTCTACCAATTTTTTGTTTTTGCTTTAACCCAGCTTTGCTGTCCTTGGAGCAAAGTCAGGGATACTCCTGAGGTTTTGGGATACTGTGGCTTTGGGACAACTAAATCTGGTCTAATTTAGCCCAATCCACTGTGTGTTATCATCTTTAATTGTATTCATCACCATGTGGAAAGGGTGTTGATGAGTGCAGTGAAAGATGTGGCTGTGTTGTCATCACTCCTAATTGGCTACATAACTCTCCATGGGAACTCTTGCAGACGCCTCTGCTAACATCAGAATGGGGCACCCACATGGCAAGCTTGAAGGAAGCAGGTCCCCTGTATGACCAGGTAATTTTCATCCTAGTTGCTTAGGTGCCTCTGCTATATTACAATGGGGCACCTGAACAATTAGCTTCTCCTTCACGCTGGCCACATGGTTCTGATGTCAGCAATGGCTAGGATCTCACATGGAGCACGATGGCCCACTAGCAATGATTGCAGGGATTTGGAGGAGCTTTCATGGAGTACTATGACCAACTAGGAATGATGGCAGGGATATGGAGGAGCTCACGTGGAGCACTATGGCCAACTAGGAATGGTGGTGGTAATATAGGAGGTAAGA